TGTAAGAACTGAGTCGGAGGCTAGAGTGTGTGGAGCTGAGTGAGTGAATATGAAGCAGGAGCTAAAGAATGAACCAGGGAACAAATAAGGCATTTGACACTGCTAGGACCTGAAAAACATCAGACTCGGGGGTAACTGGTATTTGGAATCCAGAATAAATGGAGTAGATGGTTTGAACTTCTAATTGTCTGTATTGTAGTCAGTGTCATTAGGTGGATGGAGAAACAGAAAAGGTGAGGTAGGCGTGTGCACGTGTTCCATTATATTGACACCTTCAATTATATTAAAGATTCTGGGGTGAGACCGCACGTGGGAGGTTGAGGGATATGGAAAGGGTGGGTTTGGCAGTGGACATGAGTGAAAAGCATACAGCATGAGAGACCCTAATGTAAGTTGAGATGAGAGCATGGGGCTCTGCTGTGGAGATCAGAGCAGGCACTGGGTGGCATGTGCACTGATTAATCCCCAAAGGGATGCAATTGAGTAAAGCTCAGCCCTAAGCCCATTGGAGGCAAGTTGTGAATGGGATGATGGGTGGGAGAGTATGCTGTGATTAGATGGGGAAAAGGTGTGATCTGTCTCCCCGACCTCTGTAAGTGGGAAAGACCAGCTTTTCATGTGTGTGATGGAAGAAATCGTTAGCAGGAATGATTCTGACTCATACTCTTTTTGTTTTGTTTTGTTTAACTTTTTTATTGATTCTTTGTGAATTTTACATCGTGCATCCCATTCCCATCCATTTCCCCACCCTCTGCCCTTGCAGCACCCCCAAAATTAAATGAAAGTAACAAAAAACAAAAATCAAAAACAAGCAAACAAAAATCTCAGTGTGGAAGCTAGTGTGGGTGGGTCACACCATATACCCTTGAGTCCATACATCTTTACTTGTAAGTGTCCATTGCAATGAGTCATTGCATTGAACTAGAGTTCAAGGCTCCTGGCTTCTGCCATACCCTCTGTCCTGGGCCCTCACTGGGACTCCTCTTGAATATCCTATTGACCTGTGTCATGGAGAGCCTGCAGCTTTGGATCTGCAGGTTCGGCTCCTTCACGCACTCTAGCAGTTCATAGATGAGGTGGATATTGGGATGGACTAACTCGTAGCTCTGGTTCTGGGCATGGGTGGTAGCTGTGTTGGTCAGTTCACCCGCTTTCCCTCATTGTCACCTCCCATGGGAGCTCTCCAGCTCTGTCCCAGCTAGCTCTCCCAATGCAGCCTGAAGCAAGGAGCAGTTCTCTGCTCTCATAATCTCAGGCCCAGCTCGCCCACACCCACACCACCAGGGTCAGGTGAGGTGCAAGACCCCCTTTCCTGAGTGCTGTAGTTAGTAAGGGGCAGGACCAGCTCTAATGCCCCCAAGGCCAGCTATCCCATCTGTTGCAGGTGGCAAGGGGCAGGAGTGAGGCGTCTTTCCCTCACCCACGCCACCATATGGCACACAACGGGGTGGCAAAGGCAGCTCTCCTGCTCTCAGGCCTGGCTCACCTACTGCCCCACCAACAGGATCAGCTCTAGTGTGACTTGTATTTTTTCCAGACTGGGAGTGTCCGAATCACCATGGGGTTCCGCATGCCTCAAGCCTTGTACCTCCTCCTACCCCCAGTTTCTCTGTTTGATGTGCAGGGAGACCCAGAGGGTGGGACCCATAAGGCCCCTGGGAGATCCTGTGAAGGTCAGGGCTGACACTGCACTTAAACCACTGTGTAGGGCGCCAGGCTGCGAGTGAAAGTCCATTCATTTTCCAAACTGCGTACTTCCCAAACGCTTTATGAGGTATTCCATTGAGATTTCTTATTCCCCTGGGGGGTGAGCATTAAGTAGCTAGTTTGGAATGGGCCCAAAACATCTGTAAGCAGTCAGGGCCTCTGGAACTGTGTCCTTCCACAGTGTGTCCACTGTAGTTAAAGGAGACAAGCTTTCAAACGTGTCTGCTTAACACACTCTGTAAATCTCTCCAGTGCTTTCTGTGGAGCCTTGCTAGTATTATTTCTATGGCTTAGAATGCTAACATTAATAATTAGCATCAGGAGACACGCCCACCTGCCTGCCTGCTCCTGTTGCCTCCTACCCTGTACCTTGCTGAGGAGACAAGCTAATTCCTCTTGTGACTGAACTTTGCACCTTAGCTGTGGTAGCTTGCGTAAGACAAAACAGTCAATCAACAGTCATGTATTAAGGCTGAGCTCCTGAGGCATCCTACCCCTCCCTGTTGAACTGTTGGCTACCCATAGTTCTAAGGGAGGGCCGGTCAATGTTCTGAGTGTACATACTGATGAGCCCATCAGATACCAGTGCATAGACAATTCCAAACTCTAGTTTGGACCCTAGTTAAAATCAGTGGGTCATAAAACAAAAGAGGCATGAAGGCAAGAAAGAGATTTGCCAGGTTTGGGGGGGGGCTGTTGACATAGGGTGGAAGAGAAATAAGAAGATGGGGCATGAAAGTCCGTAATCAGCATGTATTATATGTACATATACATGTGTGCATACACTAAATTGTCAAAGAAGGAAGTTAATAAAGAAAATGTCACAACCAAGGTAGAATGTTTTTTGAATGTAGTTTGTTCCAGATGATGGTAATATGTACTGGAAGTGGTGCCAGGTGATGTTGATGGAAAAAACATGGAAAATAGTTGGGGAATGATGGAGAAGGGAGGAACTGATGCTCTAGAAGTTTGTCCTGTCTGCTTTCAGCTATTGCTCAGTGATTTTCTCATTTATATATGTTGTATTATAAATTATACTTTGACCAAATAAAACTTTCAAGCCCATTGATTACCGTAGATCTGTCCCCACTGGCTAAGAGCAAGGTAACTTCTCAGACAGCTTTTATAAGTAGCATCCTTCCTTTTCCCTGAGAGACATCTCTCATCTTGCTGTTGAACATTGTTAGTCACCAGTATTTCACTGGAAAACTTCACTTTTGTTAATGCTGTTACTTTTCAAACTAAGAAAGAAGAGTAATGATCAAAAACATGTGACCCTAGGTCCTTGCTCCATCATGCGGGCTATGAGTTGGAGCTCTCACCTGGGCTGGGCACTTCCCCTCAGCTCTCCTCAGACTATCTACATGCCTATGGATTTGTGGCTCTGGTTTTAAGTACTGTACAGGTGTACAAGCTTTACTGCAGAACTTCTGCCCCTGGGCTCCATTGTGATTTATAGGTCATGGGGCTATGGTAGACAGGTTGTTGGTTGTTATGCATAGATTAAATATTTGTTTTGTTTGATACTTCCATCTTGGCCCTCTCCTTCCAATATCTGTGCCATCTTCTTTGCTTTCTCACAGCTTACATTGTGGTAGAATTTTTCCTCTTTTCCTTCAGGCCTCTATGAAGGGCCCAATCCCCTGGCTGTGCGAGCCATAGTCTTCACTGCTGCCTCTGATTTCACCTCCTTCCCAGGGCGGGCGCAGCAGCTTGCCTAATTTCTAGTGTCTGCTCCCATGTCATGCAGGCAGGGACAAGAATAGGTTCAGCAAACTCCTTTTTATGTTGTCCCTTTCCCTTTCAGGAAACTGCTGTGATTGGCTGACTCTATCATTACACATACACACACACACACACACACACACACACACACACACACACACACACACACACACGATTCAATTGAAGTTTCTGTTTCTTTATCTGGATTCCTCCAGGCTTCTTTTTGCACATCTTTGCATGTCCACATCTTCCTTTCACTTGTGAGTTCCTAATATTGCTGGGCATCCAGTTCAAGTCCACTATGCTCACCTTGGCCTCTGCCCTCAGACCTTTGTTACTTATTTGCTGACTGGTATGTTTTTGTGTGCATTACTTTGAGCTTAAACTTCAGGGCTTGGGTGTGTGTGGTGGATCACAGTACATGAAAGCTTGACTTTAGAGTCTACTATGTAGTGCCTGGGCAGCTTTCAATTCTGTGGGTTTCCTCCTTGCTTGTTTCTAGGAATAAAGATGAAAGAGTGTATTATCATTGGTTTGGTAACTGAAAAGTCTCCAAACCTCTTGTATTTGAAAATACTTCTGGGCCCCATTATCATGAACTTTGACACAACAACACTAAAGTTAAACCTCAGACCCGGAGATAGCGTAGCAGTTAGCACTTTTGTTTCTATTGCAGAGGACCCAGGTTCAAGTCCAGACACCACACAGCTCACAACCACCTGGAACACCAGTTCCAGGGAATCCAACACCCTCTTTTGGCCTCTGCAGACTCAAATGTGTATGTCGTACGCATATATACATGGAGGCAAAACGATCATCCACATGGGAATGAGTATTTTGTAAAAGGATAAATAAAATTGAAACTTATGTTGATAAATTTCCTAGGAGTTCAACACAAGGTTACCTCTTATTTCTTGTGTATATCAACATCCTTTACTGTGAAAGAGGCCAGTGCCAAAATAAGGAATATTGTATTCAATATGCAATGAAAGTTCATAGAAATAGTATTATTTGGGAGATGAAATTAAGGGTGACAGTTTGGGAGGAGTTTACAGAAAAAAAAATAGCATTTCAGGATGCATGTCCTGTTAAGCAAAATGAAGTTTCACTAAGCTCTGTGACAGAGTATTTATCCAGTCCATAGACACCAAAGCTGGGCACACTCTAAGGCTCCTGACTGACCATTTTCTTTGTGCAGTGTGGAGGTGAATTGCCCCCGTTAGCACCCAAACTTGATGTCATGATGATTTCTTTTTTGATACTCACTCTCTCCTTTGTTTATCTGCGAAGAAACTTGTACTGAAAGCATGTTACTCCGCTGGAAGTGCATTGCTGTCCTTTTTCAACCTGGGGCACAACATCACATTTTTTCCTGCATTTATGGATCCATAATAGGAAAAGAACCACACAGAGTTAGACGAAACCTAAATTCTTTCTCTTCTTCAACACAGACTCTTGTGGTCCCCAGTCACGTTTGCAAGGTGCAGTTTCCTTTTGAATTATTTTGCAATGACCACACAAAAAGATTGCTTAGAGAGTCTCACTTTCTCTCTCTCCTTTGCTCCAAGGAAGCAACCATGTCTGACAAGAGCGACCTCAAAGCAGAGCTGGAGCGCAAGAAGCAGCGCTTGGCCCAGATAAGAGAGGAGAAGAAACGGAAGGAGGAAGAGCGGAAAAGGAAAGAGGTAGGCTGGGTCATGGTGTTGTAGGGTCAAATGGTCACTGGGATCCGAGGAACTAGTTACGTGGACAAATGGGATCCTCGGGAGAAGTTTGAAAGAAGTGTGTGAACGGATATCCACACACTCTGAAGGGGAAGGTCATCTCTCCCTGATAAGTTATGTCACCTAAGCAATGGGTCATACATGACTCAAACATCTGCAAGCCCAGGTTTTCCCTGAACTTGAATAGAGCCACAAGAGTGGTCCATGATCTCTTTGTTGTTGGATTTTCTTTAATCTTTATGGGCAGTGTTCTACTTTGGGAACAACAATTGGTTATACTTCATGGAACTGCTAAGATTAGGATGAGCTACCCTCCCATTGCCCAGAATCTAGGATTTAGTTCATAACTGTGCTTGTGTTGAGAAAGAACAAAAATCTTATTTATTTATTTATTTATTTATTTATTTATTCGCAAAAAGTAACAATATGAACATTTTAGAAGACAAAACAGATCTAATGCCAGTGGATTTCCAGTGATTCCTACACAGTGTACATTTCCCATGGCCAATAAGAATCCTCAGCTTGGCTGAGTGGGAACCATAAGGAAGGGGTATGAACAAGATAGAGAACAGTGTTGGGTATTTCAGCAGGAGGAGGTGTTCTTTGTCACCAAAAGTTTTCCTCTTTATATCACCAAGTAGCAAGAACCCAGAGGCAAGACAGCTTTTCTCTTGGTATACTCAGGGGTCAAACAAACACCATTGACCCCAGATTCAAAGCCTGTTGTATGTCCTCTCCTATCTCAGTCTGAGAAGTGATGTATTTTTACTCTCCAATTTGTTGTGATAGTGTAGAAATAAACCAACTAATGCACAAAAACCAGATGGCAGATATTTGTGAATAGTTTTCTAGAAAGGAAACTTTGAACAGGGTGATATGCCCACACGAAGAAAAACTGGGATTGCTCCCCACACAGATAAGGTTTTTTTCAGGAAGAAGAAAGTGTTTTGATGCCTCGTGATCTAAATAAATGCTGTGTCATTCTACAAATTTAAGAGTAAAATAACAACTTACGATGTTTATCATTTTCCAATAATTGCAGTTGCAGTTTAGCCTTCTGGCTTCTCCCATCTCTTTGGGCCGCAGATGATGCCTGATGTGATAGTGTGTTTGTCCTTGATATCCTATATAGTGGTTTTCCCTGGGAGATCTTTGCTGCTCTGTATGCAGGTTGTGGGTGAAACTGAGGTGAGAACTGACAAGGAACGGCTACTCATTTCTATGGGAAGCCCAAAGAAAGCATCCTGTGATTATGTTTCCCTTTTTTTCAAATGTCAACAGCTACTGTATCTTTAAAGTGCCTGCTATTCCTTGCTAATAATGGGTTTTCTTTTACACTGACATTCTAATATCCAACTTGAATTTCACAGAATTACTATGAAGTGTGATGTGATATAGGAAATCTGGCTCCAAATTAGGCTGTCTGCTCTTTTATTTTACATTGGGAGAATCATGGGCCAACCAAGCAGATCAAGGCTAGCTTTCTCTCTTTTTTTTTCTTTCTTTCCTGCCTTTCTTTCTTTCTCCCTTCCTTTCTTCCCTTCTTCCTTCCTTCCTTCCTTCCTTCCTTTCTTTCTTTCTTTCTTTCTTTCTTTCTTTCTTTCTTTCTTTTTTCTGGTACACCAAACAGTTTTGAGGAGCAAAGGCCTCACCCCCTGCACAGCAAACAGAGATTCCAGGAGCTTCTGCATATTTCTAGCCTCAACATGTCTCTGGAATTCGAGTTACAGAAGGACCCACTGTCTCTGTTACTTAACTGAAAGGGAAGCTCAAAGTCACCAGAGCAACTCATAGTCTTATACTTCCATGCTCAGTTCCGTTCAGAAGAGTCAAAGCAGGGCTCCGTTTTGGGATGTACTGACTGTATTGTATTAAAATCTACTCCGGCTTTAAATCTTTCTGCACCATCTAGTATCCCTCAAGAAGCTCTTTCTGATGTTTAGAGATACTTAAATGTAAGCATCTCTAAAACAATGTAAGCATCTCTAAGCCAAACAAGCAAAACACCCTTGTTTGTTTATTTGGCGAGTGGAGGAGAGTGGGGTATCTGTGTGCTGTGGCTTATGTGTGGGGCCCTTTCACTCCTTCTATGAGGTGGGTCCAAATGATTGCACTTAAGGCAATCAGGCTTCTCACAGAAGGGTGTATTTGGGGTTTCCAGAGAGATAGGAAGCCATCACTATTGTGGTGGAGGGAAGTGACAAAGGGGAGGTGAAGGGGGAGCATGGCAACGGGAAACTGAGTGCTCACAGGCTCACATCTCAAACAGAGAGGGTAAACTTGGGGGTTGAGGTGTTTGAAACCTCAAAGCCGGCCTCCAGTGGCACCCTTCCTTCAGCAAGCCCTCTGCCTCCTTGGACAGTGGTGTCAAATGAGAATCAAGTATTCAAGCCTGAGAGTATGAGTGACAGCTCATTAAAACCACCACTCACATGGAGGAGCCATCTCACATCCCTGTTTCAGTATCCTTAGCAAATGGTTCTGGCTTCACTTTTCTGAATAGCCAGCGCCGTAGGACAGGTAGTTTTGAACATGGCGGTTACATGCAAGGGTTTTTGCATTTGGATGTGGCTGAGAGACCTTTAGTGTGGGCCTCTGAGAACTTGTCTTCTTGATAGAGTTCTGTGTAAATTCCAAAAGACTAGAGAGCAACAAATAGCACAGAGAAACAGTGAATCCTAGTAACCTTTCTCATCAGTGTGAGCCTGAGAAAGAAACCTTGAAGGTGTTGTAATTTACAAAAGCATCACAAGAGAAAGATGCCAGGGCAATAGGGTTCAAGCAGAGGGGATTTGGATTAGGGTTCATAAAAAGGGGGAAAAGAAAGGGGAGGCAGGCCTCTGGAGACAGAAGCAGCAGGAGAGAGGAAAGAGGAAGGAAGAAAGAGGAGGAGAGAGAGGAGAGGAGAAAGGGGAAACAGACAGAAAGAAAGAGAGAGAGACAAGGATTGGAGGTGGGCAGGGCCCTTTTAAAGAGGAACTTAGTGAATATGCACAGGTGGTGCCCTTAATGACTGCAGCTGAGGGCACATCCTCTCAGAAGCCCAAGGACAGGCCAGTATAGATGCCTGAATACTAACAGAGGGAGGGGTTACTTTTGGCTCAGTTTAAGGGGACAAAGTGGGTAAAGAGGCCCATAAGATGGGCCCGTGATCAAGATGAGATCTTACATTCCAAGTACCCTCATGAGGTTGTAGTGGTTTTTAAAGGTTTGTTTATTTAAAAAAAAAAAAAAAAGGTCTGTGTGTGTGTGTGTGTGTGCAAGTGCATTTGAGAGCAGCTTCCTATAGACAGCAGAGGTGTAGAATCCCCCCTGGAGCTGGAGTTATAGGCGTTTGTGAGCCACTGGATGTGGGTGCTAGGAACAACTCATCTGCTTTGCAAACATAGTAGGTATTATTTTAAACAGTTCATAAAATATTTCTTTTCATTAAGCAAAATGTCATGGTATAGAATTCTGCATTCTGAAATCATGTTGAAGCTCAAAAACGTTTGCATTTCAGATCGGGGATACCCAATCTGTGTTTACACACATTTTGCCACATAGTATATGCCCAACAAAAGAATATAAACAGAACAAATAAACATACAAGGCATTTGGAGTGGGTACTGAAGGCACTGATTTCAAGATCATTTTCAACCATCTAACGTTCTGTCCTGCAGATTCCTTTGGAATCTCTGACTGAAAGGTTATGAAATGCCTCATCCCCTGCCAGCATCACTATCCCATCCACTGCCAGCATCATCACTATCCCATCCACTGCCAACATCATCACTATCCCATCCACTGGCAGCAGCATCAATATCCCATCCACTGCCATGATCAAAGCTGCCTGAGCTAAGATGTTCTGACTTTTGTGTTGTTTGTAAAGAATTAGAAATTGCCTTAAGAATTTAAGTTTGCTGATGGAAACAGAAGCAGAGATTCACAGCTAAGCACTGAGTGGAATTCCTGGAATCCCCTTGTAGAAGTGATGAGCAAAGGGGTCAAAACCAGGCTGGAAAAACTCACAAAAACTGCTGTCCTGAACAAGGGGGAGCTCCTGCACACCAGTCTGACAGCTGGAAAACCAGCATAGGATCAAACCAGGCCCCATGAACATGGGTGTCACTTAGGAAGCCTGGGCAGTCTATGGGGACTCTGTCAGTGGAACCAGGATTTATCCCCAGTGTACACATAGGCTTTGGGAACCCATTCCCTATGGAGGGATATTCTTTCAGCCTAGACACATGGGGGAGGGCCTAGGCCTTGCCCCAAATGATGTAACAGACTTTGATGATCCCCCATGGAAGGCCTCATGTTCCCTGAGGAGTGGATGGGGAATGAGCTGGGGGGGTTGGTGGAGGACATGGGAGAAAAGGAGAGAGAGGGAACTGGGATTGGTATGTAAAATAAGATTGTTTTAAATTTAAATAAAAATTAATAAGAAATTAAAAAAGAATTTAAGTTTGACTTTTGTATACTTTATTTAGGCTCAAACTTTAAATGAAACAAAATGATTCAGAATTGAAACGGAACAAAATGCCCTTTGGTGCTAACCTGGATATTTCCTGTCCGTGATTCTAGAACAAAGAGGGAATTAGGACCAGGGGGTGGATTATCTCCCACCGCTGAGAGAGCTGTGGGGGTGAATCATCCTGGGTTACTTTGGATGGCAGTTGCTTTCCTGGTTGTGGTACCATGGCTGAAACCTGATTTATAAGTAAGTATGGTGGCCACCATTTAAGACACAGGCCCGATTTCAGGAAAACTTGGCTTCAGAACAGTGAAGTGAACTTAATGCGGCCACCCTGAAGTTTCAGCCTGGTCTTGGCTGAACTGCTGCTGGAAGCCAAGACAGGTCAAGGTTTCCTGCCCTGTCTTCCCTTGTCCCTCTGATAAATGTGCAACTGTCTTGCAGAAGTGATTGGCAGCTCTCAGATGGCCAATTGTCTTTCTTTCATTATTCTGTCTGGGTCTCAGCTGGGATTATGCCTCACAAACAATAATATCATTTTCTGGGGAAGGCAACAGTTGTCTTTTTTAACTACTAGTATTACAAAATTAGTTCACAGTGAGTCTTTGAAACGGGGCAGGATCCTGTAGTTGTTCCTGGAGAAAACCTGTCATGTTCATCACTAGGGCACTAGTGACAGCCTCCTTGGAAGAGATTACGCCCTGCTCTGTGTAGGGCACTCAGTGATAACTGGCTTGTTTCTGATGAGCTCTGGTCATCTGCCTGTGAAGTTCCGGTGCTCAGCTTTGGGAACTGAGAGCTTTCCTAAACTTCAGTAAGCCTAGATGAACATGCACCCTCATTAGTATATCCCAGTATGATGATTCTTTTCCTTAAGAATTAAGAAAGCCAATAGAGCTGGCAGGATGCCTCACCAGGTAAAAGCAGGTGTCCCTCAAGCTAGGCCACCTGAGTACAACATCTGGAACCCACCTGAAAAAGCCAGATGTGGTACCCTGGTACAATAAGGGAAACTCTGCCCCCAACAAGGTTAACAGAGATAATCTTTTTTCCAAAAGTTGCATTCTGACCTTTATACTCAAGCTGTGTGACATGCAGGAACACCTCCCCCCCCCCTCTCTCTCTCTCTCTCTCTCTCTCTCTTCTTCCCCCCCTCTCTCATACACACAAAATAAACAAGTGATGTAAATGTGGGCTTGTGAGATGGCTCAGTAGGCGTGATGCCACCAGAAATGATGAACTGAGTTCAAGCCCCAGATTCCACCTGGCGGAAGGAGAGAACAAACTCCCACAAGTTTCCCTCTGCCTACTCCACACATGATACACCATGTGTCCACTCCCACTCTGAGGCCCTACATACCAAAATCAGTGAATGTAAAAAAATAAATTCATCTTGTAAAAGTAGGCAGAATAGTGAGTTGTATACACACCTGTGTTGAAGAAGTAGACATTTGGATACTGTTTTGGTACAATGTGTGTCGCCCATTTTGACACATAATTTGACTACTATGATATTTCTTGAATGCCTACCATTTAAAATTAGAATAAATCTCAAACCCCAAACCAATACTGTACCTTTCAACACAGGGTGCTATGTCACAAAGTTTGGATCTACTATGCCCAAGTTCATTTAAAAGGAAAGATAGGCAGGCCATTTTCATTTACTCTGTCAAGTCTCCACTCATTTCCATGCACCCATATTTGTTGACAGAAGTGGCTATTGTAAGCTCCTGTTTCTAGACTTCTAAATACCTTGTTCTCACAGTAGTGTTCTGAAGGAAAAGGGTGTGGCTGAGAGAAATTAACCTAAAAGATACACTCAGCTAGAATTCTATGACTTTAACATAATGCCTGCCAAAGTCATTATTCAAACACATATTTATTAGGTTCTTTATACTCCAGAAACTGATCCAGGCATGATGGCCTTGTGATGAATGGAACAATTGTGTCGCTATCAATAACACCGAGAGTCCAGTTGAGGCTAAGTCCACTGTGTTTCAATACTCAGATGGGTTCTAAGTTTTTTTAGTTTTTCTAATTTGTATTTCAGCAACACCTGTAGTGGTCCCATTTTCTAGCATCTCTCCCTTTTCCCATTCTTTTTAACTGTGTGAAAAGTGAATATGGATGCTGATCCTCATTCTTTTTTTTAATTTTATTATTTTTCTTATTTTACATATCGATCCCAGTTTTCTCTCCTCCTACCCACCCACCCCTACTCCACAGGGAGGGTGATGCCTTCCAGGAGGGATCATCAAAATCTATTAAGTCATTTGGAGTAGGGACTAGGCCCTCCCTCCTTTCTCTAGGCTAAGGGAGTATCCCTCCATGGGGAATGTGCTCCCAAAGTCCTTTTGTAGACCAGGGATACATCCTGGTTCCACTGTCAGAGGTCCCTTAGTCTGATAATGAGATTGATAACTAATATGTCATCATAAAGGCTTCATCCAGTAGCTGATGGAGCAGAAGCAGACATCCACAGCTAAACACTGAGCCGAACTCATGGAATCCAGTTGCAGAGAGGGAGGAGTGATAAGAAAAGGGGTCAAGACCAGGCTACAGAAACAGAGACAGCTGACCTGAACAAGCTTAGAAACCAGCATTGGACTGACTCAGACCCCCTGAATGTGGGTCTCAGTTAGAAGGCCTGGCCAGTCTAAGGGACTGCTGATCCTCATTCTACGGCATCTTTTTTCTCAACTCTGTCTTCGCCTGCTGTCCATGTTAACAGTGGGATGCTCCAGTTGTTTAAATATTGCAATTGGAAAAGTATTGCAGACAAATTGGCCTTTTAAGAGTGTGAGTGACAAGAGAAGGCTGGAATCATCTAGGACTCTCTCCAGCTCTATTTAGATCCCAAATGACAGTTTTCTCCCAAATGACAGATTGCAAAAGTGAAAGTGTGCTCCAAGCCAAGGTGAATGAGAACAGAAATGCTGAGCCCAGAGCCGCCTAGAAACACGCTTGTCTTATAATCCGGTTGTAGGACACTCTCTAGGGCAAGCCAAACTGCCCTGAAATTAATTATGCTCATTGAGGCGATTTACCTGCTAGGATGCAAGATGCCAATAGGGAATGAGGGACATCTGATAATAGAATGGTTGGCTTGACAGGCTTCAAGATAGCTTCACTTCTGCGGGCTCATTAAAGTTGCCTGTGAGGTAGACACTAGTATTCTCTCTGTTGAAGATTTGGGCAGATACCTTTAGTTACAATTTGACCCAAAATACTTCCCTTCATTGTCTTTTTTGAAAACATTTAATTAATTATTTAGGTATTTCATACAATTTATTTTTAACATATTTGCCCCTCCTCCAAGACCCATGCTCCCTTCTTTTAAACCCGCTAACTCTCGTTTTTTGCTGCCAGTATATTCTTGGGGATGTGGCTGTCCACTGGAGCATGATCTAGGTACCAGGCACCACACCCAGAGACTCTCTTCTCCCAGAAGCTCTCAGCTGGAATTCAAGCCTTCTCCCTCACTCCATACTGTATTGTTATTTGCTTGAGCTTGTCCATGTCTGTGGATGCTGTCGTGACCCCTGTGAATTCATATGTGAAATATCACTGTTGCGTCTGAGAAACCCTGGTTCAGTGTAGTCATTCATTGCTTTGGTATCGTCCCACCCCCTCTTCTTAGGGATCTCTTATCTTAGCCTTGGAAGAAGGGGTGCATTCAATGTGGAGCTTCCCCAGAAACCTAGAAATAGATCTCCCACACAGTTAGCTATACCACTCTTGGCCTTATATACAAAGACTCTGTTCTACTACAGAGAAATTTGTTTATCTGTGTTCATTGCTACTCTGTTCACAATAGCCAGGAAATCAAAACATGTTAGATGCTTATCAATTAATAACTGTGTAATGAAACTGCATAATTTATACAATGGAAAATGATTCGGCTGTTAAGAAAAAGAAAATATGAAATCATCAGGTGTTCTTTCATTACAGCTATAGGAATAAAAGGTGGAGAGGGGGTGAAGGAGAGAGAGCAAAAGAGAGTGTAAGTGGGCAGGGGTCTGACTTTTAAAGCGGTCCTTTGCACCTGCCTGCAGACTAGTACTCATGAAACCCTGGGCTGACCAGCGTACTGCCTGAGTGCATTGTGCCAGGTAATAGGGGCCGGCCAGCGTAATGCCTGAATCCTTATATCAGGAACATAGGTGGAGTAGGAAGTAATCATTGTGAGTGAGGTAACTCAGACCAAAACCCGGAGAGGTTTTGTTTGTTTGTTTGTTTGTTTTGTTTTACTTCTAATTATTAGATTTTATTTATTTTGTGTGAATGTGTTTTGTGGGATACACAAATGGGTTTTTTGTTTTTGTTTGTTTGGTTTTTGGTTGTGTTTTTGTTTTGTTTTGTTTTTTGAGACAAGGATAGCCTTGGCCATCCTTGAACTCACTCTGTAGACCAGAGTGGCATTCAACTCACAGAGACCAGCCTGCCTATGCCTCCCAGGTGCTGGGATCAAAGGCATCACCCAGCACACAAATGGGTTTTTTTTCTTTCAACATACAGACCCTGGAACTCAAACTTGGGTAGCCAGGCTTGGCCTCAGGTGCTGTTACCTATTTAAATATCTCACCAGTCCAAGAAATTTTCATATCACGTGAATGAGATGGAGCAGGGCGGGGCTTTGACCAAAAGAGAGCCCCTGTAAGTTATCAAATGAGCAGTTACGGTGATTTTCATACCCCACACATGGTTTTATCTATATAGAGCTTTGCCTGGCCTTTGGCTCCAGGCATTTCTCGCTTAACTGAGGAAAAGTTTGCATTTAGTTACATCGCTAACTTTCCTTGCTGGCATTCAATCTCTCAGGCAGATATGCAACAGAAGAAAGAACCTGTTCAAGATGACTCTGATCTGGATCGCAAACGCCGAGAGACTGAAGCTTTGCTGCAAAGCATTGGGATATCACCGGAGCCCCCTCTAGGTACTTCCCTAGGCTTGATTTCTACCCCTCAAGCAGAACTTGTATAGGTATACCATGTCCGGCGTTATTGTGCTTTTCCATGTTAGCTTTAGTATTGTTTTCTGTGTTTTTAAAAATCTAGCTTATTGTCCTAGCTGCATGTACTTTTTAGAAGTGAGAGGGCTGGAGATGGGAATGATGTTTACGGAGTCACGGGCAGTTGCTGCTGGTTATGTGCTCATAATTTCCCTTTGTGTCACCAGCAGATTAATTTATACTTGTTAAATGAGCACATACAAGACATCTTGGAATTTTTAATCATTAACAAATTGTTCTTTGTGTCTACTGCTGAATCCCAACCTCTCTTTGCCTATATAGATAATGTTAATCTGGTCATAAATACTGTGAACGCTAAGGCATAAAGTTATTACATGATGAAAATAGAGTGTTCGGTGGGAAATTTGCAGAAAACCATAAAAATTAGCAGCTAATCTACAAGATTAAATTTATTTGACATGTATATCTTGATTTCATTGTTAGTGGGTATTTCCATTGCAATACCCCTCCTCCAACTCATTCATTTCTAGTTAATTGTCCATGAAGCCTTTTGATCATTCAGGTGTAGGTATTCAAAATTTATTTTCTTTATTAAAGGTAGCTTGCATGTGCTTATTCTGCCAGTTGCTTGTGTATCTTTCATGTGTTTTTCAATAACTATTATTATTTCATTTTCCATACCTCTAAAAATAATCCGAGGGTGTCTGTAAAACTACATAATATCCAATACATTAAAAACAAACCCATTTAAATGATGAATAAGAATAAATACAGTGCCAGGGCTGATTTAAATGTTTCATCTTTTAATTCCTCTCTTGGCTTCTATAATAAAATAAAATCCCTCTTATTCTCATAGTTACTTAAATTTAAAAAAGAATTATCCTTGTAAAGCAATTATTCCTATTAATATAAATAATTAAAAAGAATATATCCAACTGAATGTATTACAAAATATGATTTAGTGCATAAACATGCAACTAAAATACTACTAAAAAAAACCCATTTCATTCTACCTGAGTTGTGGTATGTGAAATGATGTCTTTGCTGCTATAATAAGTCCTAATAAAACTAGATTTTGTTTAACTTCCTATTATGTAAGATGTAATCTAAAGGGGATTTGGCTGGTAGATCATCTTTGAGAAGTTGAAAACTTCTTTGTACTTACCTGATATGTGATGTAATTTAGACATCTATCGATCAATTATATCTTTGCTTCAAAACAGTCTTTGAAATGTGGTTGCTATGTCAACACTGGTTAAACACAGTAATGCTGTATCCTTTCATCCATTACCCAGCATAAAGCTGGGTAATTAAACGTTAAAAAGAAAATACTTGAGTATCCCTAGTTTGTAACTTTGTTCTCAGTTACCCCTGAATTCCTTCCAAGGGGCCAACTTTTTGTCCATCTCTCCAACTTGCCCTCTGCCTTAGCACTAAGGATAATCAGGTGATTAATTGAAGAACCACATGAAAATATCTAGCTCCTTGACAATTCTTATTGTGTTACAGGATTTGGAAAAAAAAAAGAAAAACAAAAAAAGCTTAAGCCCTTTACCCTATTAAATAAATAAAGGGAAATTGCTTATGATTGAAACCAAGTAGGATGCTATACTCATGTATTGAAGTTTCTTTCTGCACATGGCTTCCTTGGCATGTGTGATATGAATCCTATCAACTGGCTGGCCTGGAGCCATCTTGCCTATTTGGTGCAGCTAGTAGCAGAAGGATATTTGGCCGGATGTGAAGGCTGGAGAAAGAAAATGCATTTCCGTTTCCTTGGTTTTGCTTTGTTTTCCCTCTATTGTCCTTGCTTGGATTGTCAGCTGACCTGGACCCTTGAGCTTCTTTCTCCCACCCTCAGAAGGCCACTTTAATTTTGTCCTTGTGTCAGTGTCTACCAGGGCTGCCAGAGACAAAGGAAAACTGATCCCAAATGAAGTAGAGTCAGCTGGGATGAAACCATTCATTAAATGTAAAAATAAAGCAGGCTGGCATTTTCCTTTGTTTTGAAAGAGATGTTTTTTTCTTTTTTAAATTACCAGGCTCAGCATTTACCCTTCCTCTCTGTCACTTAGTCTTAGCACGAAGTTGTTTACATACCATGAACCCATACATTTCTCTCTAAATTAAGACACTCAAGAGCTGTCTTCCCCTTCTTGGGCATTTAAAATTATTCAGGTTCATCCATTTAATAAAGTTTAATAAAGTTTAAAGTTTTATAGACACCTCATCTTTTAAATAGGTCACATCTGTACTAACAAACTAAAGTGAAGAATTAGAATGATCTGGATAGTTCCTAACAGAGGAATGTAGGCTGAACTATCTGGATACCTATTGTAGTTCTCCATTTTACTTCGTTAGGTGGACATGGCCTCGGAATCCCTAAGTTAATTCTGTCTAAATTCATTTCAGACTTTCATTTTTCAAAATATGAAAAATTCACTTGACTTTCTTCCTTTTCTTTCCTTTTTTTTTTTCCTTATCCCATCTCGATCTCTCCTGGCCATACGACCACTTTCCTTTGGGCCCGTTCGTTTTGATTTGTCTGACACTGCTCTGCCCCAGTGCAGCCGCTGCATTTTTTAACATGGGATACCTGTTATTTTCATTATTTAGTCCCAACCCCTATGTCTCCCTCTTCGAAATCAGCGAGCACGCCCAGTGAAGCTGGAAGCCAAGACTCGGGCGATCTGGGGCCATTAACAAGGTAAGAACTGTCCTTTTCAAAGGCCATGGTGGGATGTCAGTCACACAAGAGAACCCTGAAAATGCCATCAGACCAACATGCACCTGCCCCATTCTTACTCATGCTCACTTCATGCAGAGGTGCAATGTCTAGCCACAGAGTGGCTCTTTTGTACAGTAGAAATAACAGTATCGCCCTTCCTTGAACTGGCTCATTGAAGACCATGCGTCTTCCTTAACAAATGTAAACATCTCCATGAGCTTGGGCCTAAAAGAAGCAGCGAAGGCCCAAGTTCCATTGAACATATACCCAGCTTTGCACTGTTCACCTTTCATTTGCTTTCTAGCCCCACTTTTAAGCTCTCAGGCATCTAGTTTATCTAAGAGAGCTGACAACATTGAGAACTTGGTCCTCAAACCGTTGCTATTGTTAGGAATTTTAGCAGGGGGTTCACCTTTGTTGCTTGGGGAGTCGGTTACCAAACTTTTATTGCACTCCGTGCCCAGAGACTTCTGAGGCAGGATGTGGGCATGCTGTAATTTGAGCACTGAAGGGGGATAGCTGAGGAGCAAGTGGATGGGGAGGACCATGGTCGTTCTCTTATGCTGATCGTGTTCTCTGTGATTCCCAAAGTCGGGTACCCCCAAAAGGTGATGAATGAACATGGGATGGAGCCTTGTAGTGATCAGTTAGTGGTCATGGCTCAGACGCGCATGGCCTTCCTCCTAGTTCCAGGTGTTTGTGCCCTAAAGCAATGTGGACCCAACGTTTCCACACCCCCCCCACCCCCAGTTTTTCACAAGAAGTTGGAAATTACTTTCATTAAAAGCAGACGTGAGCCTGTGACCCACGGCTGGCAACATGTGACCGCTAGCTGTGATTCTTAATTTGGGGAAAATCAAAAAATACTTGAATTAAGCTTCAAATAAAGGAAACAGCCAACCTCCACACTGCACTCATGACAGATTAGCCTTTTGCTTGTCTTTGTACCTTTCAACTTTTCCCTACCTAAGGACCTTTCTAATTACCATGTGCTTTACTGAGAGAGAGAGAGAGGGAGGGAAGGAGGGAGGGAGGGAGGGAGAGAGGGAGTGAGAGAGACAAAATTGTGCACTTTATTTTTCCAAATAATCCATTTTCATATGCATTTTCTTCTGGAAGTACATTGTTTTCATAGAGAACTAGGTAATTTGGTTGAGGAAACTGTGGCTAAGCAGGATGTGGAGGCACATTCTTAAAAACTGACAGGCTGAGGCAGGAGGGTCATGAGTTCAAGGTCAGTTGGTGCTACTTAGTAAAACACACACACACACACACACACACACACACACACACACACAGCAGAAAATACCCTGAGAATCATCCAGAACTGCCCTGAACAGTGTGCTTGTATTTTCTGTCAGAAATAAAATACTTAGATCAGAATTTCTTCAGGTGTTCCTGCCTCGTGGTATGCTCAGAAATAAGTATCTTGTTTTGTCAGGCCTCTGGATGCTGAGGCACTACTTTCAGTTTTAGAAGAATGAAAGTAAAAGCTTTTGTGGGAGCAAAGCTGGTTTATTTTAGCAAATATAGCTAAATATTTAGCAGTATACATGTTGCTTTGAACACTTCAGAAGGTCTTTGAGGTATGATGGTAACAACAACATAGGTGAATAATATTTAACATTTGTTTGAGGGCTGGAATACTGTGATCATAATCCTCAGAGGCTCCACTGGCCTCCTGTTAAAACATTTGCCTGTCTCTGTACAAGGTTGCTGTTGTATAATTCTGCTCATCTTCATGGGGTGCAGTTGGCAGCATGGAATTCTATGGCCGATTTCACAGTTGATGTGAAAAAGCTGTCCTGTGCTGTCACGCTCTGGGGACAATGACAGTTCTCCTCAGAAGATACCACTCTGCTTTCCTTCACCTTCTCAAATCCTTGTCTTGTAATTGTTATTTTTAACCTAGTGAAATGTCTTGAAGGAGGGAAGCCATTCTTCCCACACCAGTCAAACTCCAGAGAGTTCTGCTTCATCATAGTGAAGTTCTGATAAGAGTAGGTAGCTGGGAGCCAGAGAGCAGATCCCTGCTAATGGCCACTTTCATTACAATACAATACAATACAATACAGGAAAATGGACAGCGAAAAAAAAAACACCCCCCCTCAAAACAAAGCAAACAAACAAATAAATAAAAAAACGAGCATGAAGTTTGAATTCTGACAATAAATTATGACTAGCTTAGTACGACTTGCTCTTGTTTTGGACGTTAAATTCCAGACAGATTTATGATTTTGTTTTAATAAAATGGATGAGTGTTACAGTATAAGAGAATATCGTATTTCAGATTTTAGAATCCCATTTAAAACGTCTTTTCATGTAGAAGTGACATTTTTTAAAACAGCTACTATCATCTTTAACACTTCACAGAGCCTCAGCTTTGGAAAGTGATGACACCCCCTGCTCTAAAAAACTTGCCTATTTGCCTAGAATATGAAATCTTTTCAAAGATTTCTGAATCCAGTTAACACATCTGTTCATACCTCATGGCACACATAAATTCTTCTATTCCTTCGCCAGGATTTAAAGCTCAAATTAAAAATGTCTTCTAAGAACCAGAAGAAAATTGGCATACTTCATGTCTTTTATGAAAACACTGCAGTGTAAGTAGCAAGTTTGCAAAGCCCCCTTTAACTCATTTTGAGAGCAACAAATGCTTTTAAATAAAAATATAAAATAATTCCCAATTACAGCAGTATGAATTAAATATTTTAAAGCCAAAAGTGTTATGATTTGTTTTACCATTTCTGATTTTGTTTCTATAGGCCACTTCCCATTCACAACTTCTATTTGTGATGCTTTCCTCCTTCTCTTGATTTATTTTAGTATAATCAGTTAACTATTTCTAAATTAATCATAATAGACAAAATCATGCTCTTAGAATTTAAAAAACTAGTTATAGTAATGAAACATTTGAAAGAATAATTTTACTTATGAAAACAGGTATTTTTATACACACCTTAATATACACACTATAATACCTTATAGAGGATGTTAATATGATTGATTATTATTGGTTCAAAGTTCAAGAGTAATTTAATGTAGAAAAGGACCAAAGAGGGAAGTGTGGTTAGAGAATGCTTGAAGAATCCAAACCCCTATTCTTAGGTTTCAAGATTAAGCAGTTTTCTCTGTATGATAAGAATATTAATCTGAATCTGTTAGACAATGTCCTCTATGCACAACAATTGAAGAAACTATACTTCATCAACATTGAAGAAAAATGACTTTGTTTATTTGAGCTTGTGTCTTCCTTAAGAAATAATAAGTTTCTTGAAAATGGGAACTGAATTTGAAATTGAATCCATGTAGTAGGCATTTTGGAATTGTTCTTGAATTTGGATTAATTTATTACCCTATTTTGGTTTTTGGGGGTTTTTTTTGTTTGTTTGTTTTTGTTTTGTTTGTATTGATGGCATCACTGAGGCATTGTGAGCATTAGTCATTTTCTCAAGTTCACAAAAAACATAGCTGAAGCTCTTGTTTTAATCTGTACTAATTTACTTGAATTTTCATTATCTCCAATACTTAATATAAATGCCTCCAAGATTATATTGAAATGGAACAAAATGATTATTGGTAAACCACTTGGAAGAAGCATGACATAGTAATTGTGAACTAGCTCTTATTATGATCATAGTCATGCTTTTTCACATTCTGACTTAGGTATTTAGCTAATGGAAAGAGATCTTACTAAATTTTTCTCATAGAATGTATAGATATCATTATCAAATTTGATAAGCATATTTTTATCTTCATCCAAATAATTGTGTAAAATTTGTGAACATCATGACAAGGCTAAATTGAAGTCTACATCATTAGAGTTACCCAATCCTTGTTCATGTACCTTCAGGTTATGAACTGGAAATTAATGTACTATGTACATGACAATAGTCTGCCCATATCAATTCTTTTTATTTACATGGTTGACTCATGTAGGACTTCAGACTAACCCTCTTCTCCTGTTTTGCTGTGGGATCTTTAAGTTTTCAAAAATGCAGCCACATCAATAGCTGTGCTGCCCTGAAAATATGGACTGTGCATTGATTCACAAAATTCACCAGGATTTCAAGGCTGAATCATATAAAAGCTTTCAAAAGTGACTTCACATATAAAAACCTCACAAGGTAATTGAGTATTGTTGTGATAATAATAATAGCATTCCCTAGCAATCAACAAAATAATCAATATAGTCAGAAAGGGGAGGTCTCTGATATTTGTTTTTAATAAATGGCATGCAGAATAACAATAATATTAATTGTTACTTTGTTTGGGGTATGTTTGTTTGTTGACCATCTGTAGTTATCATCATTAAGTTCTATATTCCAATAAATAGGAACATTTCCTCTCACTCAACTGTTTATTAGAACGTTATATGTCTATGTATTTATTTTAGAGTGTGTGTTCCTGTTGGTGGTTACACTTGAGCATGAACATGTGAATGTGTGTGAGAGGAGGCCAGAGGCTAGTATACACTGTCCTCTTCAATTATTCTCTTCCCTATTGCTTGAGACAAGGTCTCTTACTAATCCTGAGCTCACTAGTCCTGTGGGCTGGCTGGCTGGCCAATGAAATATAGTGATCCCCCCTGTCTCTCTGCCCCTACCCATGGACTGGGTGGCAGACTTGTGTACCACACCTGGTTTTCATTGCTTACTGAACTCTGGTCCACAAGTTTATATGTTAGGAACTTTTCTGACTGAGCCATCTCCCCAGCTTCCTGATGTTTTATTCTTAATAATCACTATTGAAATGTTTCTTATGTATTTAATGTAACTATAAAACACAAAGAAATCAAAATAATGACATAAAAACATCATTGTCTTACCACATAAGATAAGCACCCTACATATATTCTTCTACATCGTATATATGACATCTTATATGCAATCAATAACACCTGTGTGTGTTAATCAGTTCACCTATTTATAGTCAAGTATCTTTATTTTTCTACTTCAACTTATCTTTAAAATTAA